TAAAAAATTATTTTAATAAGACTTAAATTTTGCTCTTTACAGAGACTATAAAGAGTACCGCAACGTAGTCGCTGGATTTTGCATCAAATATTTCCACAAACCCCTTCGTTCTTCGAGATGAGGAGGATCTATCTCCGACTCGTATCACTGTTCTACAGTTCATTTTGTATTTTACGATAAATCCTCGATTCGCGCCGGCGAGAGAAAGCGCGCTTCGCCGTCCAAAGTTGGATTCGACCCTGCGGGATGCTCAGCAAGTCGTAATAAATTACGCAGAAGTGGAGCCGTGAGCGGAGATTACTGGCCCGGTTTCTCCCACCGTCGCATAGCAGCAGCCGCCGGCTCCTATTTCACCACCAACCACTCCCCTTTTCACCACCCTCTGCATGATGGCTGTTTCACTTAAACCCCGCTGCCAGCCTCGGCTGCTGCTGCTGCAATTTTGACGGGCGCACGCCAAATGCGACGCTAATGAAATCGGTTCGCGATTCGCGCTGCGGATTCAACGGCATGGAAACCGCTCCGCAACGTTACGTAGAACTACATTTCAATCATACCGTGTATGATCTCATTCGCAGCTTCCTATGCTTCAATAATATTCAACCCCCTTTGACCGATAAAATTTGAGAACCGCAAATACGAATGATTGAATACCGTAGGCGCTTTTAATTTAGAACTTTTAATATATTTTATTTAGAATCAAAAATTAAGTATAATTTTATGACTTTTCATTACAGATGGTAGTAATTTAGGCACCTCTGACATTTAGTCACTCATATGTCAAGACTTAAATATTGATCTCTGCACATATACGTATATATATATATTTTTTTTAATTTAATCAAGCATGTTTCTCAAGAACTACGCAGCTAATTAACAAGTCTCTCGTGATTTCGAATCCGTTTGCAGCGAGCGTCGCCAACAAAGTCGGAGTAATTCGAATTGGCTGCGCGCGGCAGATCGCATAAAAATTCAGGAAAGTACCTTCTGAACGGTTCATTTCACTCGGGCTGATCGTGTTCGACTCAGCCTCGAGGGCAACATACATTATGGTGTGCTGACTGCTTACCATCTTCTTCGATAACGCAATTTAATCCCGAGAATGATATAAGGAACGCTTTTGTACTCGCGTCGCTCCCCCGGAATACGTATTCCTCTTTCCTCTTCGAAATTGCGCGAGTGAGATTTAAACCCGTTTTCTAATTCCCGAGACTGCAGTACTTTATTATACGATAGTCGTATCGGTAAAGCTGGCAAGATTATGGGACACGATAATCTAGTTAGATAAAGTTTAATATGACTCAAGATTAGTACGTAGAATTTTTATATGGAGAAGAAAAGTTGTGTAAAGCGATTCTTAAACATAAATTCTTAAATTCCTGTGCTTTATAAATTTAAAATTTAACTTATATTTTAAATTATATTCCTTATACAATTCTTTTAGTATCATTTTGTGCATTAATTTCAAAAAATTTTGAAATTATTAAAATTTTAATCTCTGGATAATATATGATAGTTACTAATAATTATAATTTTATACAACTGATCCTTTGGCATATATGAGATATAGACATGATCAAACAAACAACTATTATCAAGCAATAACAAGGAGATTATCCATGTGGAAACATCAATACTCGGTATGTCTGCTTTATCGATTGAATAGAAATAATATATTTATTCAGCACATTTAATAATAACTATGCAAGATATCTCTCAATATTATATTCTCATTGAATTATCAGTAATAATATTATTGATTATTATTAGTAATAAAATCAGCTAAAGATAATTGACTGTAATACCATGCATTTTACTGACTGACGGTATCAATTAGCCGATCATATAACTTCTGTTGAGATATAAAATCTAGAGCAAATGTAAAGAGCGTATAAAATATAAAGAAAATTCTTTCTTTAAAAATTATATATTGTAAAACAAATGATATATTCTTGTAACAAACGTATTCATTAATTATATAAAAAAAAAAAGATATAAAATCTAACAATAAGTTATACTTATTTTAAGAGAGAGACAAACAGATTAAAATACAACAGATATAGATATAGATAAAAATATTTTATTAAAATATTCTCTCTCTTTCTCTCTCTCTCTCTCTCTCTCTCTCTTTTAATAGAATAAAAAGAAGTTTGGATAAGATTAGAAAACTTACCCAAAATATAAATAGAGTAATTAATAAAAAGAAAATAAAATAAATAGAAAATATTAATAGAAATATTAATATTTTAACATTAATTTAATATATATCGAATTTAAACTAAAAGCAAGCATAATATTATTATCTTATGCAATTGATAAGATCTATCTAATTAAACAAATGTCTAAAAAAAGCAAGTTTGATAAAGTTGGCCATATTTACAACAGTTATTTGCAATTTTTGAAATTTTTTGCGCGAGAACAAAAGTTAACGCGTTTTGGTTTATTATTAATAAATATTATCAAGTCTCAGATTATATTCCACTTTTATCACAAACGTGTTCAAATAACCCGCCATTGTACTCAGTATGGCGAATAATATACCCACAACAGCGACTCAACCGACGGCATGTCGTACCCTGGTGAGATGTACAGATCGATAAGTGATGGACCGTAGTCGTAATCCGGGCGTTGCGTGCATCATCGAGAAAAAACGCATCACGTGTTGATAAGGTTAATCAACGGCGATAACGTATCCCGTCATTCAATAGATCGTCGCGAGCAGCCGCAGAACAAGGTACGTTCTTATCAATCTCCAATATTCTCTTCGCTATCTCAGACGCTTTATTAAAATCCGCTACGCTGTACAGTGTTTTTGACACACGAATAGCTGACGCGGCACAACCGGCGCAGTTATAATCACGCGCAAATGGCTCTACGCGCGCGCTTCTCGTATCACACATCACCCATACCATGCACGGTTCTATCATGAACCGTGTATCGCCAAATAATGCGCGTGCAATATGTCGAATAAAGATCGCAATATTTAACCAAACAATGCTCCAATAATTATAATTGCAAATAATATTATTACAATTATTCTCGGATTTATCAGACTTGCTTTTTATTGTTAAAAACTTTAATATTGAGATAATAATATTGCACTTGTTTTTATATTAAAAATTCAAAATTTATATTTATATAAATATATTAAATTGATATCAGTATTATACTGATGTTGAAATAAATATATTATATTTTATCTTTTTAATCTTACTCAAATTTCATTTTTCTCTGCCATAAACAATTTCCCATTACGAAAACTTCCTATATCTAGTGCCGCGGAGGTCCACAGTATGTTTTACAAAACTTTAATAGAATTTTTAAGCGAAGAGAATTTTAAAGAGATGGGGAGGAGAGTCTTTGACTTTAATTGATTACTTGCATTATTTATAATTAAATGGAAGAGATACCGTTTTTATCGTTTTTCCTGATACGTTTGATGTTTTTCAAGAGAGCAGAAGAGAAGAAAATGTAAAATAATTATAATTTTTATCGAAAGCGTAATTATATATATATATATCTTTCGCGATGCGATTTACAGTCATATCGTCTCAATTTTCCAGGTATGTAGATTCCCGAAAAAAAATGGACTTATGTAATTATATATCATATATATAATTAAATTCGAAATTTGGCGAAATATATGATCTTACCATATGTAATCAAATCCGGATATTTGGCTAAATCCGAAATTTGGCGTGATATGATCTTATCTTATAATCATATTTGGCTAGATCTGATCATATATGAAAACATATTTAACTGAATATGATTATATAAAGATAAGATTGTATCACGCCAAATTTCGGGTTTAATTATATATGATTATATATGTATGATCCGAGATATGATTTTATATAATTACATTAAAACCATTTTTTCTCGGGTTCTCATATCAGCACTCGGCGGTTATTCTTTATTAATGAATTACTAGGCAATCGATTCTCTCTATACATCGTGTATGTACTACGTGCATGACAGATATTAATTCAATCGTAGGCGGCATTCAATGACATTAAAAGTTGCTGTGAAATTACTATGTGCATTAAAGTATTAAAATTCGATCATGTCGATAACTATTATCATGATCGTGATAATTATTATCATATCAATTTATCATTATCGTTTATGTGCGCGCGTAAACCGAATTTGTATATCTTATCATTTAACAAAGAAAAAAAGTATTAAATGTGAGCTCGATAATGCAAATTGCAAACAAGATTTTATTTGCCGTTATAATGAGGAAGTTTTCATTATGTCTGCAGTATCTCTCGAACGAAGTCATAAATAAACATCTTTAAAGTATATTTCTAAGAAGATCGAGTGATTCGTAAAGGTGAAATGTCATTTAGGAATAATAATAGTATTTTAGGGCTGATTGTTCGATTTTCAATGCAAAAGCAATGTAAATGTAATTATATCGTTACGTATCAATAGTTTCGCAAATCTTGTTTGGTCCATAATGTGACATTAATCCGTCAATAATTTCACGACAAAGCAGATTTGTTATGCGGTTCACGTAACAAGCCGGCTCGCGCTGTGTGTCTATATTAAACGTCATTTCATCAAATATCATTCCCAGAATTAAAGGAGCTAGTATCTTGCGGCCTCAATGGCGTTTGAATAAAAGCCCCGCGGTGAGCCACTAAAGATAGCGACTTTATCATGTAATGAAATTCAGGAGGATTTTATTATGTACTTTATTATTCATTATTATGGGCTTGGTTTTCATCTTGTAAAAAGCTTTGTTTTATAGATCGTCGCGGTTTGACGGTTGCACAAAGGATGGTTATTAATTATTTTTTAAAGAGAAATGCCTTTTAATTTGATAAAAATTACAAAATGTATAAAAATTATCTACCCGAAAATTTTGTGTGGTTTAAATACGTTTTAAATATATAATAATAATTTTTGAAAAAATTTAAACAACTTTAAATGTATTTTGTATATTACATACATATATTAATTATTTATAATTTGTTATTGTATAGTTATAATATCTGTATCTTCTGTACGTGTTTCTTATTCGTGATATCATAGTCGCATTGGAAATAAGATGCTTAAATTGAGATTACCTAGCAGGATTGCTGCATGAATACTCCTACTCAATTGTATCTGCTGTAGCTATACCCCTGAAATAGTACCGTAATTACCAACAAAATTACCGCTAATGCTAAGAGAAAGCAGTCAATCGCGCAACAAATTGTGCAACCGCATCGTGTAACGGTATGATTTCGTTAAACTAATCGTGCAGCATAAATGATAATGAAACTATCAGAAGATATAGTCAATTTCGCAAATAATGCGAATTAATTTAGGCGAAACATCCTACACACTTTTAAAAGATTTTCTTACGCCTCTGCGTAGTTGACTGTTAAAAATGTCCCATCAAGCTAAGGGGGCTCATGACGTCGAAGCGGATGACCTTGTGCCCATCTTGACACCCACCACCGATATTTTACCACGTTTAAAGACCTTGGCCGCCCATTTCGCATCAAAATACAATGTGAACCCTTCCTTCTTCGCTCGAGTGCCAGGAAGGTAAGCGATTTTTTTTTTTTTTTTTTTATACAACGAAATTATATTTTACTTGAGTCTCAATTGTTTGCTTTTATCGCAGCGGAATTCGTTTATGTTGCCACTCAAAATTTCTTTAATTCACACGGGATGACAAAATCTAATTCAAATCTGATTTTACCGATCATTAAGCGATTGCTCTATCATTAAGAGCATACATATTCCACATTATTTTTAATATTGTTATATATCGAATCACCAAATGTTTTATAATTCAAACACCGAATATTATATAAAATTAATTTTTTTATACATATAAAATAAAATATAAATTTCTTTCAGAATTATCAGCTAAATTTGTATTCTAATTTTAGTAACACGTTTTATCATTATTTAAATTTTATGAAAAGTTTTATAGATTTTGTAAATTATGTTGGCAATATGACAGAAACATTTACGAATGATTCTGTATCGTGCATGTTGCAGAGTAAATTTGATAGGCGAGCACATCGATTATTGCGGATATGCCGTCTGTCCAATGGCTATTGAACAAGATATCCTTGTTGCAGTAGCATTGTCAAAATATAACGACATTTACCTCACCAACATTAATCCTAAATACAAGGACTTTCAATGCAGTTTCGAGAATGTAGGGTGAGTATATAATTCAATAAGAGTTTAAGAGTTTGTTAAGCAAACATAATGTCAGTTAATATTTTAGACGAAAAAGAGTCTGAAACTTTATTAATTAATTTTTTAATAGCTTGTACGCGACACATTATTAAAAAAAAAAACTTTTCTGTTTTACTACGATCTCTCGTGCTATATATATACGTATCTAATATAATATAGCGCAGTATACTGCACGTGGCATATAATATCTCTTCTATAACACACTGTCGTGCTTGCAGTTGTGATCTCAAGCACTTATAAGCACTTATAGCCCTTTAACAATTTAAGCCCTTGATCCCTCACCGCGGCCATCTTGGATTATTACACTGAAGCCAGAATTATGCTCGCTTTATCCCTATAGCGCACGTGCGCATTCGTGATTGAGATAACATCCCTACGACTCCTCTCGTTTCGCGTAATTAAATCAAATAAAAATAAAAATTTTTATTTTACGGTGTAAAACCCCGGGAAAAAATGATAGATGTGGCTAACGGACTGCGTGTAATGTAAGAAAAGCAGATGACAC